ATTGTGGGGCTGGCGCGGGATCGGGCAGTGTTTCGTTCTGCTGTGCATGGGGTCGCTATGAGTCGGAAACGACTCGACAGCACTTAACAACAACACGTTTAAGTCTCTGCTTTCAGTTCTTTGAGATGTATACCTAGAAGTGAGAATGTTGAGTCATAAGGTAGTTCAATTGTTAGCTTTTTTAAAAACTGCCATACTGTTTCCCACAGTAGTTACAGTGTTTTGCAGTCCCAGCAGCAATGCATGAGAGTTCCATTGTCTCATACCCACGCCAACACTTACTATTTTCCATTTTTCTGATAGTAGCCATCCTTGTGGGGTGAAGTGGTATCTCACAATGGTTTTGATTTTTCATTTCCCTATTGATTAACGAGGGATATCTGGTGGTATAGTGCCTAGGGCATTTGACTGGTAACCAGGAGGCTGGTGGTTCAAACCCACCAGCCAGTCCTCGGAAGGAAGATTGGGCAATCTAGTCCTGTAGAGATACTTCCTTGGAAACCCAAGGAGAGGTTGCTATGAGTTAAAGTGACTCAAAAGCAGTGAGTTTGATTTTTTGGGTTTTGGTATTGATTAATGATGTGAGAGGCTTCTTTTTTGTGCTTATTAGAAATTTGCAGGAACTCTGCTGGTACCAGAAATTCAGTAGTTCAAACCCACCAGCTGCTCCAAGAGAGAAAGATGTGACATTCTGCTTCCATAAAGATTTACAGTCTTAGAAACCCTATGGGACAGTTCTACCCTGTCCTATAGGGTCACCATGAGTTGTAATTGACTTGATGGCAATGGGTATTGGACACTTGGCATTTCTTCTTTGGAAGAATGAATCTCATCTTTTTTTTCTTTTCTTTTTTTTTTTTTTTAATTTAAGATTTAAAAAGATTTGGCATACTAGTTCTCCAACTGGTCTTTTTCTGAACCTTGAGTAAAAACTACATGATCTAAGCCTGTTGTCACACATAATGCTTAGCAGTGTAATTACCTGGACCAAGCAAACACATACTAAATTCAGATAATTATCAATTTATGAAGAAGACAAAGTCAGCAAATTTGTTTGCTTACCTAATCTGTTTAGTACTTCATTTTACTCTTATGATTTAAAATTTTAAATCAAGCATTCTCTCATGTAGATGGTGTTCAAGAATGGAAACATGAAACAATTATAAGAAAGCTAGGTGACATATCTATAAAAATAGGCTTTTTATTTTTCTTTCCTTTTATTAAAGTATAATCCTATGTTGTTGTCTATTTTTACTTCCTAATCAGGTCATCTAGATGCACTCCTAAGGGGCTTGGTTCTGGGCAAACTAGGAAAAGCAGGACATAAGGCAACATTAGAAGAAGCCCGTCGTCGGTTTAAGGACCACGTGGAAGGGAAACAGATTCTTTCTGCTGATCTGAGGAGTCCTGTAAGTTTCCATAATGAATTACAGAACTTTTTGATAATAACCAACACTCATCTACGTACTGACCCACAAATCATGTCTGACTATTTAATATATGCCTTTTAGAGGGTTTGTAGCCATTCTCATTTGCTTAAAGTTTCTTAGTCAGCACTGTGGTTCTGAAAGTTGATTTTCAGTGCACATTCCCCTGAGAGAGCTAGTGTGCACTGTTCTTTCTACATGGCATTTGCCTTTGTGTTTGTTGATAGGGGCCGTTAGCTCCTTGTCACAATTTATAGGTAGCATCCACACCCAGCTATTTATAATTCTTTTGACTGTCTTTTCTGGACATTAGAATATTTGAAACAAGGTACATTAATCAAATGCCTTATTTTTGGTTCCTGTCTTCCCTTGTAGGTCTATCTGACTGTTTTGAAGCATGGTGATAGCACTACCTTAGACATTATGCTAAAGGTGAGCATGTTTGGAAAGGGCTTTCATTTCCTGCTTTTGAACTTGAAGTGGCACACAGAGTATGAGCTTGTGGTTAGAAAAAAAAAAAGTGACAAAAAATCTGGCAAAAGAAATGTAGCATACACGTGCAAATATGAAGAAACAAGAAAAATACATAATGTCTGTTCATGTATATTACCACTGCTATGCCAAAAGTCTTATTTTTCACTGCTTTTTTCACTCATGAGTTTATGCATCTTAAATCTTAACTTGGAAGTGTTCATTTTAGTTGAAAAGTCAAGTTCTTAAAAATTTCACCTTCAATGTAAACATACTTGGTGTTCTGATCATTTTAATCTTTAAATGACAGATTTGTTTCTGTGCTTAGGATATTACTAAGGATCAGGAATATCATAGTTTGAACTATGCCAGCATCCCTTATGAATGGACAGGAAATTAATTCGTCTGCCTGCACAGTCTCTGTAGTTTTCCCAGGGTAATTGGCATATAATTAAATTCTGAATTGGACAAAATATAGATAAAACTTTCCATGTGGAGTATAAAAGTAATAGCAGTGATCTGTTTGAAAGTTCTAATCAACAGTACTACTGTAGAACAAGCACTTTCTCCAGTCCCTAATCCGTGGGTTTATCAGTCTATAAAGAAATAACTTAACAACAACAACAACAAGGAAATAACTTGACTGTACTAGTGGTGGGACCTCTGGTGGCATAGTGCCTGAGGCATTTGACTGCTAACCAGAAGGCTAGTGGTTCAAACCCACCAGCCACTCCTCGGAAGGAAGACTGGGCAATCTATTTCCATAGTGATACTGCTTCGGAAACCCAAGAAAGGGGTTACTCTGAGTCGGAGTTGACTTGATGGCAATGAGTTTGGTTTTGGTTTTAGTACTAGCTGGTAGTACCAAGGTGGTAGAGCTGAATATGCTTATTACCACTTAAGTAGAATGGTGCAAAATATGCCTAAGTACCCAAGCTATCCATCAGACCTGTAAAGCCCATTCATTTAAAGATCCATGCTTAAGGGGATGGACAAGACAGGAGTAGAATCCACTTTCTTCTTCCACTGGCGTTAAGAACACTTTTCTGATTCCATGCAGAGCAATGATTACTGCTTTCCTAGGGGCTGCAAATCCAATTTTTAGTATTTCAATTTTATATAAATCCTGTTAAAAATGATTGGGGTGTTTTTAAAAAATATAAACTTTTTTATTTGTTTACGAAAGTGTACCTCAAAATGTGCTGCTTTAACTTCCTTTCTAGTAATATAAAAATTATACTTTGGGTTTACCTTTCAACTAAATGATGTTAAGGTTCCTTCTCATTCTTAATGTTCTATGAACTTAAGTACTTATATAAATCATGTATTTCTTTGAATGTGAAATGGTATATTATATATATATATATTTTTAGTCAGTTTCATAAAGATGTGGATAAAAAGGGGATTCTGACAATTCTGTGATAGATTCCTTGACATTTTCATGTTATGGCCCACTCAGTTTATACAACTGGGTATATTTAATAAGTTTAAATTTAATACAAAACAGTTGAAGATGATTCCACTTTCCTTTGAAAGAGCTGTAATGAGGGAAGAATCAGGGTTCTTTAAGAAGCCAGTTGGTCAGAAATGAGGAAGTTTTCTGTTGATGATTTGATAATAATAAGGCAGGATAAAAACCAAATATAATTCAAAGTATATTTGAAATGTGGTGTTATGTTGCCATCTAGTGGACATAATAGGTTATCCTTGGAAAAATTGCTGCCTGACAGCCAGAGTTTAGACCTTAAATATTGGAGGTCAAAGGGACCTTAGAAATCATCTGTCCACTCCCCTCATTTTACAGATGGGGAATCTGAGACCCGGAGAGGTTAAGGACTTAGTCAAGATCACACAGCTAGTTAGAGACAAAACTGGGACTAGTACCCAGGTCTCCTGACTTCTTATCTATTTTACCACACTGCTGCTCAAAAGAGTCCAAAGGAAAGGAAGAGGAAACTGGGAGCTGTGATGGGGTCTGCAGACACTGGTCAGTGTTCAATCTTAAGGTGAAGAGGTGAAGAGAACCTCTAAATTGTCTTAGAGAGGTATCTCTTACACATTTGCAGTTCTAATTTTAAAAAACTTTATCTCTAATCATGAAAAAAGTTTTTGTATATTCACTATGGAAGATTTAGAGACTAGAGAAGTATAAAGAAGAAAAACTTAACTTGTAGTCATAAAATTAGGTCACAAAAATAGCATGTATAATATCTGATTCCCAGTTTAATAATGTATATATAGTAAAATTTTATTTTTATTGATACTTCTCTATCTTTCTAATATTCTGTATTAAGCATATATTGCTCTTGAGGTTAAGAAAAAGGTGAATATTTGAAAAAGATAAATAATCCCACTAATGAGAAGCCATCATTATATTATCAGGTTTTGTCCCCCTTAATGTTAATTTTTTTTAATTTGGTATAATTTTGCTTTGTCTCCTTACTTTTTTTACTTAATATATCAAGAGCATTTTTATTCCATCAAATGTTTTTAAAACATAACTTTCAATGATGCATCATTTCTTTGTATAAATAAAATCTGTTGGATATTTAGATTGCTTTGAATTGCTCATTACAATAAATTAAATTGATGGTTTTTAATGGTATAAGATGAGTAACTAAGATTAGTAATGATTTGTTTATCTATCATAGAACATTAGCCAGGCATCAGTAATGCCATGACAGATTTACCTTCAGATCTCAATGTTAAACTGCTCAGGACTGTTCATCAAGTGAACATTTTAAGTTTAGTGACTTAACTTCTTTACTGTAATGGCAAAAGATCAATGCCCAAGCATCTTGCAAAATATTCTTTTGTTAATTTCATCCTTTGCCAGTTTTGCACAGTAAGAATATAGAGCAGAAGTTGTACCTGTGGAAGCAGAAGCTCATGTAAGAATACACAGAGCTTCCAAGGGAGAGCTAACCATCCCTATCTTTGTCATTTTCTTATAGCTTCACAAACAAGCTGATATGCAGGAAGAGAAAAACCGAATTGAAAGAGTCCTTGGGGCTACTCTTTTACCTGAGCTGATTCAAAAAGTACTCACCTTTGCACTTTCAGTAAGTTATAATGAAATTTATTTTAGAGAGGATTATCTGTGACAAATGTCTTTGATTCTGTATCTTCTTGATCTACCACAACCCTGTAGTAAGGCTTTCTTTTAGGAAAACGCCTTGAGCTTTTGTTTTCAACTTCTTTTATCTCCCTCTACGGTGAGAATCACAGTAATTGGAAGAGGAAACAGATTCTCTCCAGAACAGGCACTGTGAGGATAAGGATTCTTGAAAACTGAGATACTAATTCTTGTGCCTTTCTTAACCCTGTAAGATCCTAAGCAAGTATTTCCTGAATAGCCTTTTTATACCTATCCCAGTGCCCCATGCTCAGTTCAGCTCATCTTTAGGTTAAACATTTTCCTCTTCACTGAAAGCTTCTAGTGCTACTTACTCCTAAAACAAGGAATAATTGTCTTCAGTGAAGTTTTGGTTACCTAAGTACCCTAACTGGTAGCATAGTGGCTAAGACATTTGCCTGCTAACCAGACGGCTGGCGGTTCAAACCCACCAGCCACTCCTCGGAAGGAAGGTTGGGCAATCCTACTTCCGTAGTGATACTGCCTCGGAAGCCCAAGGAGGGGTCGCTATGAGTCGGGTTTGACTCGACGGCACATAACAACAACAACAACAACAAGTACCCTAACAGCATATTGTCCATTCTTGCATCAGAAGATGTTTGGGGATATGTTAGAATATTGTTCTCTTTGTATTTTCAGGAAGAGGTACGTCCACAGGACACTGTATCAGTAATTGGTGGAGTGGCTGGAGGCAGCAAGCATGGAAGGAAAGCTGCTTGGAAATTTATAAAGGACAACTGGGAAGAGCTTTATAATCGATACCAGGGAGGATTCTTAATATCCAGACTAATAAAGGTATATGAGCATTTTCATGTTCAGTGACTTGGTTATCATTGTTCCAGAATGATATTCATAATTCACTAGATCCATAGATCTAGTCTTTGCTCAAAGTCGCAAAAAGTCTTTGCTCTTTTAGAAGTTTTTCTATTACCAGCTTTGTTAAAAGGCTTCTCCATCCCGCATCTGCATCCTTTATAAAAACTGAAGTTGGAAGAAAAGAGAATGATTTATTTTTAGGGTAAATGGAAGTTTGTTCCTAGCCTCTTTTCATTGCACTTACTATTATAAACTCTTGTTTTTTTCAGCTATCCGTTGAGGGGTTTGCAGTTGACAAAATGGCTGGAGAAGTTAAGGTAAGGAAAGTCTTATATACTTTCCACTTTTTAATTTGGTAAGCAAAAACACTAACTAGCCACATTGTAATCGTAGATTGTTGAGATAATATTGCACTTTAGTATCTCCTTGTTTCTGCTTAGAGGTAGACAGCTTAGGTTATATTTTTAATGTCTGAAGAATTTAGAGTTGATCTTTGGGGACATTGAGATATGGTTTAAAGAAACATGTACCTTGGAGTCAGTAGTCGACCCTTATTAGCTGTGACTTTGAGCAAGATTTTAAACTCCTGTCAGCCTGTTTCCTCATCCATAAAATAGAGTGATGATAAGATCATCGTTTAGATTAAGTAAATAGTGGGACTAGATCAGAGGTCCTTGGTAATAGTTCCTTTTCTGTATTCATTGACCTTCATAGGTAAGACCAGGTGATTATGTAGGGACTGTTAGCCCTTATAAAGGTTAATAATTGGTTTAGTATGGACTTGGAACTGGTAAAATTCAGCATTTGGGGGACAATATTAACTTTAGGAAAATATTAATTTTAAGATTCAGTTGCATTTAATTGCTAAGTTTTGTTTTTTCCAAACATTCTCTTTTCTTTTTTTATTAAATTACCATTTGGGTAAAAGTTTCCAGAGCAAATTCATTTTCCATACAACAGTTTATACTCATTTTGTTTCATGATTTTGACTACAATCCCCATGTCACAGCTCTCTTCCCACTTCCTCCCTCTGGTTACCCTTTTTCTGTGCCCTTCTTTCCTATGCATTCTTGCCTTCTGAGCTATTTCCTTGTGTACCCATGGTTGATTGTTCTAAGGAATGTGCCTATGTAGTGTAAATGTTCACCAGTCACCTGTCTATTGTGTGACTGGAAGCCACAGGAATGAGTGCAATTGCAAGGAGGAAGGGCCACTAAGGGCAACGGTCTTGGGGGTTTTACCAGTCTCTATCAGACCCTTAAGCCTTTTATAATTTTGAGTTTTGTTTCACGTTTTTCTCCTGCTTTATCTAGGATCTCCTAATTTGATCCATTTCCAAGTGGTTGACCGTGGTAGCTGGCCACCACCATCTAGTTCTGGTCTCATGGTCATGGAGGCTGAGGTTCACATGGTCTGCTAGTCCCTTGGACTGCTTATTTCCATGTATCTTTTTCTGAAGGAAAAAAAATTAATTTTATTTATTTTAAATTTTTACTGTGATTTGGGTCAAAGTTTACAGAGCAAATTCATTTTCCTTACAGCAGTTGATACATGTTTTGTTTCATGACATTGACTGCAATTCCCCACAGTGTAACAGCCCTCTTCCCATTGCCTGCCTGTAGGTACCTCATCCCTGTCATTTCCTGTGTCTTCCTGCCCACCAGGCTATATCCTGTGCAAACACTGCCCTTCTCTTCTCCCACGCTTGATCATTTTAAGGAGTGTATCTACCTGATGTAAATGTTCACCCTATATGCCTATCTGTTGTTTGGCTAGAAGCCACAGGAGTGAGTTCAGTTACAGACCTGAAGGGTAACTAGGGGCTGTAGTCTCAGGGGTCTCAATCAGACCAGTAAACCTGGTCTTTTTTTATGATTTTGAGTTTTGTTCCACATTGTTCTCCCACTCTATCCAGGATCTCTTGCACTGATCCCTTTCCAAATGATTGACAGTGGTAGCCATGCACCATCTAGTTCTTCTGGGCTCATGGTCATATAGGCTGAGGATTGCATGGTCAACTAGTCCCTTGTACTGATTGTTTCAATGTGTCTTTGGTTTTCTTCATTCTTCTTTGCTCTGGATGATGAGACACCATTGTTGCATCTAGATGGCCACTTGTAAGCTTTTAAGACTGCAGTAGCTACTCACCAAAGTAGGATATAGAACAATGCTTTTGTGTAGTATGTTATGCCAGTTGAGCTTGATGTCCCCTGTGACCATGGTCCCAAGCTGACAGGTCCAACTACTCATTCCCTCGGGGTGGTTGGCTGTGACCAAGAAGTTATCATAACTTTGCCCCTCCCTTGTTAGCTCTATTGTATATTTGGACATTCTTACAGCATGTACAAATTCATATGTAGAAATAACATTTGCTAACCTTACATATGTATATGATCTTTGTCTAGATAGGCCTAATCAGTCAGCCAGCCTACCCATGTATTTACCCATGGATTAATGTTTGTTATCACTGACAACATTGTTTCCATGTGTCTTTGTGAAGTGTCTGTTCATGTCTTCTTGCCCATTTTTTAATTGGATTGTTTGGCTTTTTGAAGTTGAGGTGTTGGAATTTCCTATAAATTTTAGAGATATTTTCAGATATGTCATTGCCAAATATTTTTTCCCAATCTGTAAGTTCTCTTTTTATTTCTTTGGAAAAGTCTTGATGCACGTAAGAATTTAATTTTTAGAAGGTCCCAGTCATTTATTTTATCTTCTGTTGTTTGTGTACTTTTACTTATATTTGGTAGTCTATTAATGTCATATATTAGAGCCCCTAAGTTTGCCCTTATTTTTCCTTTGATGAACTTTATAGTCTCAGGTTGTACATTTAAATCTTTTATCCATCTGGAGTTAGCTTTTGTGTGTGGTGGGAGATAAGGCTTTTGTTTCATTTTTCTGCAAATGGATATATAGTTTTGCCAGCACCATTTGTTAAGGAGACTATCTCTTGCCCATTTAATGGATTTCAGCCCTTTGTCAAAGATCAGCTGACCATAGATGAATGGATGATTGCTAAGTATTTTTAAAGTGTCACTTTCACCTTCATCTTCCTGAAGGCAAAGGATGGTATCAGGTCTATATTTGGAAGCTCTGAGAGCTATTATATGTATAATTTGGTTCACTGTATGAGCCAGTGTTAGGAATAAGATTTTAAGATTTCAGATCTTCTTGAGAAAAGAGTGAATGACTTAGTCTCTACTTTCATTTAGTTTCCATTGTATTGTGTAAATTATTTTTAATTGTAAAAGTAATAAGTACTATGAGGGAGAAAAATTTGGAATGTAGGGAAGTGTATAGTTATGGTCAAGCTGAGGCTGGGGAGGTAGGTAGGGACCAGACCATGCAGGGCTTTGTAAGCCATATTATGAATTCCTAAGAATGAAAGCCCTTCAAAGGTCTGTAAACAAGGGAATGACTTGATCTGCTTTGTGTTTCAGAAATTTCAATCTGACTACAATGTGGAGAATGGTTGGAAAGGGGAGGAGAAACTAACCCTTCAAGAATGATAAGGTAGCATAGAGTAGGGTAGTGGCGAATAGTGGAGGAGATGGAGTGTTGAAAAAGATTCAGTGGTTTGCTTTTGTTTATCTTTAATTCAACAAATACTTACTGAGTGGCTTCTCTGTGTCGTGAACATATCTGGAGGACAAAGAAGGAAAAGTCAGGGATAATTCCCAGGTTGCTGGTAAATGAATAGTGGTACCATTTGTTGAGATAGAACTGGAGAAAGGCTTGTATCTAACTCAGGCCCTAAGAACCCAACCATGATTAGGAGCCTTGGAGCAGGAGCCACTATCATGTATGTCAGCAATAAAGTCATTGGTTTCTAAAAGGTCTAGACTTAATCCAATAGATTCTCTCTTTTACTGTGATAGCTAGTCCAAAGGAAAGATCCTCATCCTTTTGCTGTTTGGTATTTAAGAGCTGCTTTATTTTCTATAAAATTAGGTATATTTCATTAGAAAGTAAAGTTTATTTAACCTTAAATCAGTAAACATTGTGGAAATTATAATAAACTCAGAAATAGTTCTATTACATGAAAAATGTAAGAATATGAAAAATTAAATTATTAGGATATAGTAGAAGTTTAAGCTTCATGCCTGGGATTATGCTAAATGTTTATGTAGGTTGTCTCTTTTGTTCTTCTGAAGTAAATATTTTCTCATATAAATGAGAAAATTAAACTTTAGAGCAGTTAAGGTACTCAAAGTCACAGGCTCGTGTGTGACAAAGCCTAGATACAAGTACCTAGATCTGATTCTAAGGCCTAGATTGACCACTAAGTGATGGGCCTAAAAGAAAAGCAAGGTTCTGTTTCTTTACTATTAATTTTTTATTAGCTTTTAAGCATATAATACTTGAGGGAGAATTTCCATACACAAGTCCAAGGAGTTGCTTGTTTTGTGCCGTGATGTGGAAAGACGAAAAGGGTAATGTAGTTAGCACAGTATAAGGGTGATGGTGGTATTCTCATGAGTGAAGCTCATGAATCCTTTACAGGCCAGTGGGTATTTTCTCATAACCTGTGATAGTAACTTCTTGTTGTTGCTGGAAATGGTCATTAAATATAACGTCTACGTTTTGGGTTATTTTATACCAGGCTTTCTTCGAGAGTCACCCAGCTCCTTCAGCTGAGCGTACCATTCAGCAGTGCTGTGAAAATATCCTGCTGAACGCTGCTTGGCTAAAACGCGATGCTGAGAGCATCCACCAGTACCTCCTTCAGCGAAAGGCCTCACCACCTACAGTGTGAACCCTGAGCGCAGCCACTGCAGCTCTGCTGCTTCGCTGCAGGGATAAGGTGGAGCTACCGAACAGCTGATTCATATGCCAAGAATTTGGAGTCTTCTTTCAAACCAGTGGGGGTTGGACAATGAATGTAGTTAACTGGTTCCTGCTCACACTCCAGAATTAAATTCTATTGAAAAAAGGAAAATCAGCAATTCAGCAAAAAAGTAAAATAAAAAATGTAAATATGATAGTAATAAAATAGAGCATAACAAAACTGTGAAACTTCCTGAAGCCTTGTCAGTGGTTAAAAGTATTTAACACTCTCCTGTAAATGACAGATGTTCTGTTTTTATAACCTACCAAAAGGAAAATAGAGGCTTCTGGGTCAAGAGGATTTTTGTGAAATGGGGTCTGCAAGCAGCCTACAAGCCAAGGGTGGCCCCATAGCTGGGAACGGTTAAATATGAAAGGCTGATAGCTGGTGTAACATAGTTGGAGTCTGTGCATAATTCCAAGTGGGTTTTTTTTTTTTTTTTTTGGCATGGGGACTGATCAGGAAGATACATGTTCCTGCATAACTCGATCTGAACCAAGGATTGCAGTTTTCCTCCTTGCCTTTCCTTCTGTGTGATCCCTTGGCCAAAAAAACAAAAACAGAAAAAAGGAAAAAAAAAAACCTATCCTATTCTGGATTTTTTCCTCCCCTTAGTTGCACCCTCAGCCACCCCCCAACCCCTGGGTGTCCTTCCTGGAGATAAAGAAATAATAAGGAAACATCCTTCATAGCCACATTAAATAAGAGAAACTGATTCACGTTATTTTTCTTTCTTTTTTAAGATAACTTTTAAGAACCCTGAAACGCATGTAGGTGAGACAATAGAAATAAAAATGTTTTCAGACAGGCCTTTTGAAGGAGTTATTCTACTGAAAATGGTCTTAGTTGTCTGAGAAGCCAACTGTTGAACCTCTTCATAACAGTGTCAGCACTGGCTTGTGGTTCATGTTGTGCATGTGAGAAGTGTAACTGGTTAAAACAAAGACTGTCAGCCTGTGTGTGCCACTCTTTGCTTCAACAGTGTATCCCACTAACAAGCCCCACCTGTCTAATCCAGTGAGTTTTAACTCTAAATCTCATCCTTTCCTCTTTCCCTACCTTCTTTCTCTTCTTTTCTTTATTTTTAATTTTATTTTTTTGTGTTATTAACAGGAATTCGTATTTGGTGTGGCTTAACTGTATTTCGGAAGGTCATCAGATTGTGAGATTGCTTCCTTGAAACATTTTTGTGCTATTGTTTTAAAAAAAATAATAATTAAAAAACAGTTGGCGTTAATAAAAATGTCAATGTGAAATCAATGTCCCGATTTCTTCTCTGATAAGAAACTATAGTATTCCATCTTTACTACTATAGCTTTCTTAAGTCTAGGAACATCCAGCTCCTGAGTTCTTAATGAATAGACTCTAAATAGAAAAATCTGAAGATTCCTTCTAAATTGGTTCTGGAGTCTCATACTCTGACAGCCCTATTAGAGTTGGCATTCGAGAGGTCAGTGAAGACCTAATCCTAACAGGGACTGTTTCTTGAGTAGCTCATCTGCCAAGCTCCGCGCTCATTGTTGCTCAGCAAGTCATCTCAGCATGTGCTCAAATACATCAGCAAAGCAGGGGCACCAACAAGACTGAGAAAAGTTCACCTTTAACTGAAGAACTCACACTACCTTGCAATCAAATTCTGGGAAGAATTATTTTATTTTCAGCATACATGTAAGTTTTGTGTAAATTCAGTAGCTTAGAGTATACTGAGTGAGGGGTTATGCTGGGTATCTTTCATTTTCCCTTCAGCCACTCTCCATTCTGTGCTGGGCCCTAGGAGGTGTTAACCCACATGGACTACATTAACTGAGTCCGGGGCCCTCTAGCTTTGGGTTGTGTTTATCCAATTAGTAGCACTCACAGAAGACCAGAAGGCATTAGAAAGGATGGTCAGGTTTTTATTCCTCTGAGTCTTATCTAGCAGATCTCTCTGGCTTCTACTTGCTTCCCTTTACCCCTTCAAATCTAGGGATGAAGAACTACTCTTACTGGCTCTGGATTACTATCTTGTTCTTTGTCAGTTTCCCTAAACTCTGTACAAATAGTCCCTTTATTAAAATTTCCTCAAATAACCAGTTTGAATGTGTTAGTTTTCTTCCAATACCTTGACTGACTGAGGCACCGTAATCCTGATGCTTTGGGTCTCCTATTATAAAAGTCTTAAATCAGTGCCTTTTTTGTGCCAGATATTTTAATAAAATTATTTTTTGTCTTTCAAGTATCTCCCTATTATAAGTCATATACCCATTTTTACACATGAGAAAGTAGACTCAGAAAAAATTAGGTAAATTAAAGATATTTCATTATTTTCCTTTTTCTGATACTTTCTGATTAAAAAATTTAATGGAAATCAGAAATATTAATCAGAATATTTTAATGCTTCATGCAGAGTTTTTTTATATATTTATGTTTCACTTTATTGTGATGTGGATGAAAGTTAACAGAGCAAATTGGTTTTCCATTCTACAGTTGATACACGTTTTGTGGCATTGATTGCCGTCTCCACAATTGCACTTAACTCCCTGTGTTTACAATTTCCAATTGCCCTTTCCTATCCCTTCCTGCCTTCTGAGCTGTATCCCTGGGCGAATGGTACCCTTCTGATGTCTTATGGTTGATTATTCTAAGGAGTGTGTACCTCTCTGGTATTATTGTTCACCTTTTAGGAATGTCTAAAAGTTGAAAGTTGAGTCACAGGATTGAATTCAGTTCCAGGCCTGAGTAAGGGTCATAATCTCAAGGGTTCCACCAGTCTCTAAGACCAATAAACCTGGTCCTTTTTTTTTTTTTTGAGTTTTGTTCCACCTTTTTCTCCCACTTTATCCAGGACTTCCTATTGTGATCCAGAGCAGTCAGCACTAGTAGGTAGGCACCATCTAGTTCTGGTCTCAGGGTCATGAAGGCTGGTGTTCATGTGGTACATTAGTTCTTTGTACCAGTTGTTTCCATGTGTCTTTGATTTTCTTCACTCATCTTTGCTCCAGATGGGGAGAGACCAATAGTTGCACCTTAGATGTTCTCTCATAAGCTTTTTTTTTTAATGCATTTTATTGAAATATAATTCATGCACAGTGAAATACACAAAACTAAAGTGACATAGGTCAATGCATTTTTTTATTTGCAGTGTCTCCTCCCCTCCCCACCTCTCCTCCCCCTAGTAACCAACAAAGAAAGTTCCCTCCCATATATAAACCTTTCCTCAACTTTTTATAATAATGAACTAATACTATATTTGTCCATCTGTGTTTGACTTCTTTCACTCAGGATATTGTCCTCCAAGTTCATCCTTGTGTGGTGTTTTGCAAATTGTACATTATTCTTTAGGGTTGCATAATATTCCGTTATGTGTACGTACCCCAGTTTGGTTATCCATTCTTCTGTTGATGTACACCTAGATTGTTTCCATCTTTTTGCTATTGTAAATAGTGCTGTGATGAAAATGAGTATGCATATATCTGTTCTTGTCCTGGCTCTCACTTCTTTAGGATATATACCTAGTAATGGGATTGCTGGGTCAAATGGTATTTCTAATTCCAGCTTTTTAAGGAATTGCCATACTGTTTTCCATAGTGGTTGTATCATTTACAGTCCCATCAGCAGCGTATGAGAGTCCCAATCTCTCCACATCCTCTCTAGCATCCACCAATTTCTGTCTTGTTGAACTTTGCCATTAGTGCTGGGGTGAGATTGGTACCTCACTGTTGTTTTAATTTGCATCTCTGATAGCTAATGATCATAAGCATTCCTTCATGTATTTGCTGGCCACCTGAATATCCTCTTTGGTGAAGTGTCCATTCATGTCTTGTTATTGAGGTATTGGAGTTTTCTATAAATTTTAGAAATAAGTCCCATGTCAGATATGTAATTATCAACAAATACGAATTTGTTGCTGTCATTTTGTTATGTGCTTTTTCGTGGTGTTGATTTCTTTGTCCCATATAATTTTCTGTGCTGAGCTCGTTTTGTTTATGAATTGTGTTATCACTTCCTTCGTTGCTATTGTTTTAGTATTTGCTAAATATTTGTACTGGTCCTCTTTTTTATTTTGATGTGAAGGTTTATCACTTTTCTTTGAGGTTATCCTGTGATTTATAATTTCTTCCCAAGTTTAGAACAATCCATTCTTTCTTGCCTCTCAAAAGCTTTTAATACCTGAGCCAAAGTAGGATGTAAAACATTGTCTTTGTTGACTATGTTATGCCAGTTGACCTTGGTGTCCCCTGAGACGATGGTCCTGAGCCCTCAGGCCCAGTGACTTATTCATTCAAAGTGTTTGGTTATGGCTGGGAAGTTTTCATAACTCTGTCCCTTATGTGGTCTACTTTATCCATGGATATATTTGCAGCATATTCAAAGACGTGTAGACACAGCCTCTGTGTAATCTATATGTATTCATGGGTGTAGTCCCATTGTTTCTCTCTCTGTGCCTACTCGTAGATTATTGCTATTCCTGCTACTGTAGAAGTGGGTGTGTAGTAGTAAAGACGATAGAGTTGCTAAAGGAAGCCTCTGTTACCTTTAACTCTTAGGCTCCCCTCAGTGCCTTCCTTTGCCTTGATCATTTGGTGCAGCCCTCCCCCTTATTTGTCCATTGCTTTTCCCTTTACCTGAGTTGAATAGTCGCCCTCTAGTTGCCTTCTCCTCCCACTTCTGGTAACCTTCAAAGAATGTTTCTTTCTGTGTATAAACCTCTTCTTGACTTTTTACAGTAGTGATCTCATATTTGTCCTTTTGGGATTGACTAAGTTTCACTCAACATTTATCTTTTTTGATTAGTGGGGAACAGTAAAGGTTTTTGGAATAGGGAGTGAATTCTTATTTTGCAATTTCTAAAGATGGGTTTTGGGGAGCAAGGAACCTATTTATGATTTTTTTTTTTTTTTTTTTCTATTTTCTAAGCACTTTATTAAGCCTATTACCTATTCTCTTTTTCTTTTGTGTGTGTGTGTGTGTGTGCTTTAGGTACAAATTTACAGAGCAGAATTTTCTTACATTCAACGTTTCATGTACATTTGATTTCACTCCTCAATTACCATCCCCAACCCTAACCCTCTCTCCTCCTCTCCCCAGTAACAGCGCCCCCTCCCTGTGCCCTTCTTAGTTATACACTCCTGTGTGTCCAGCTTT